TAGGTAATTCTTATTTTATTACTAATTTATATCTACAAATCAATACATCAAAAATTGAAAGTAACAGGACATTCTTGCGGTCATCTTAATGTAGATGGAAGATTTGTTCCTGGCTTGAGCTAAATGAGTTGTTTATTTTTGAAATATCTACTACATTATTCTTATCTATGGATACTACGTAGCAGTGTTCATTGAATTTACCATTGGCGGTAATTGGTCTTTGTTTATAGTCATGTCTTGTCTTAGTTGTGTTAATATCCCTAAAAAGTTTGTTCTTGTCCACCGCAACAAATAGTTCTACAACAGTCGAATTTGTAAATGTGAAGGCCCAGAATCATCAGATTCCGTGGTGCATGCCGGCAAAAGTCAAAATCACGAAACATTTCATCATCGGGCGTCGGGTGGTATCCATACCCACAGGGGCTCGATTCTCGAGTTCATTGGAAAATTTTCCGATGGGAAAAGATTCCACTACTTATATTCCCATGGTAATAGATTATGCAATTCTCGAACTTATCGGAATAGACATTCCCATGGAAATAGTAGTTTCACGTATGTCTGATATTAAGTCTACGAATATTTCGAAACAACCAATAACATTAAAGATATTTTAAAATTTACTGTTGTGGTTTGTGGGTAACCTGTTACCTGCCGAGCCCCCGCTCCGGAGCAGGTGTCGTGCCGTGCCGAGCAATCGCTAGCATGACCGAGGAAACTTGTTGAATTATTAGCTTCTCTTTTTACATGTTGAAAAAAGAAAAAGTAGCTTCTGTACGGAAGAGCAACGAAAGTTTCGAGAAACTAAGAAATTCCTTCGTTAACGGGAATAATAAAATTTTCGAAAGGGTCATTATTCAAACCACTACAAATGTATCAATTTGTATTATTTGCCAGTCCCTCAGCAGCTCCAACAATTGCTAATTGATTTAAGAAAATCAGTTCATCCAGTTTCTTAGTGAAAGAAAAGTAAAAATAATATACTTACACAAATAAAATAATATCAATCAACTTAAATAATAAGTACAAACAAGTAATTAAAAATCTATAAATACGCCAAAAAAATGTTTTAACTACAATTTCACCAAAAATCCAAGATATCCGAAAATTTTCAAATTTTCGACTTTAATGCGCAAACTCTAGTACAATTCCCATTGGAAAACACAATTTCCAATGCTCGTAAGCAGGGGAATATTTTCCCATACTTCTCATTGGAAAATATTCCACCGCTTGTGTTGAGAATACGAAAACTAAATTCCCATGGGAAAATTTAATTTTCCCATGGGAACAAAACTCGAGAATTGAGTCCCAGGGGGTCGATTCTCGACTTTTATTCCCATGGGAAAATAAAATTTTCCCATGGGAATCCAGTTTTCGTATTCTCGACATAAGCGGTGGAATATTTTCCAATGAGAAGTATGGGAAAATATTCCTCTGCTTGCGAGCATTGGAAATTGTGTTTTCCAATGGGAATTGTACTAGAGTTTGGGCATTAAAGTCGAAAATTTGACGAAAAACTAAGGCATAACCAAAGATTATTGGATATCTTGGATTTTTGGTAAAATTGTAGTTAAAACATTTTTTTTGGCGTATTTATAGATTGATATTATTTACGTAGGTATATTATTTTTACTTCTCTTTCACTAAGAAACTGTATGAACTGATTTTCTTAAATCAGTTAGAAATTGTAGAGCTGCTAAGGGACTGGCAAATAATACAAATTGAGAAATTTGTAGTAAATTTAATAAGACCTTTTCGAAAATGTTATTGTTTCCGTTAACGAAAGAATTTCTTAGTTTCTCGAAACTTTCGTTGCTCTTCCATACAAAAGCTACTTTTTCTTTTTTCAACACGTGAAAAGGAAAACTAAGAATAACTCAACAAGTTTTAATTATATATAATCGAATATTTTCACTTGTTCCTCGGTCATGCTAGCGATTGCTCGGCACGGCACATGCTCCAGCGTGGAGGCTCGGCAGGTAATTGGTTACCCAAAAACCACAACAAATACAAATAATGCCAACAGTAAATTTTAAAATATCTTTAATGTTATTAGTTGTTTCGAAATATTCGTGGACTTAATATCAGACATACGTGAAACTACTATTTCAATGGGAATGTCATCTATTCCGACAAGTTCGAGAATTGCATAACCTATTACCATGGGAATATAAGTAGTGGAATCTTTTCCCATGGAAAATTTTCCAACGAACTCGAGAATCGAGCCCCTGGTATAGTTAAACCAGAGATCTAGTGACTACCATAAAACAGCAAGTAATTTACTTATCAGCAGGCGGCCGTCTCCACGTAGATATATACCTATCTAGCCATTAAGTGTTGTTCTATAGGCCAATAATTGGGGTAAAATAAATATTAATAAAAATCGGTATAATTCAGAATTGTTTATTTAATTATACAAAAAGTAACGTGGTAACTTGGTAGAAGCTAAAATCAGTATGACAAAGTACGAAAAGGTAACTTCCCATTATTTATTTAACTTTCTCTAATCTGTCTGGAATTATAGGACTAGATATCTTAAACAATAGTATATTGTCTTCAAAGTCTTATTTGTAACTCTATATCCCATTATCGCTAATCTCCTTAATAAACGTTTAGTACAGAAAGTCAGGTGGTCAGGCAAGTAAATTTTATTTATAAATACTTTAAATTCTAGGAAATTTTTTATTATCAAATTAGTTTTACATTCAAAACTGTTAACAATTGAAATAGAGAGCTCTCAATTATAATATTATTAAAAAAACATATTCTTTACTATTTCATGAGAATATATATTTTAATCCGGACCTGGGAATCTTTTAACCAACAGACAATTTTATCGCTTATCTACAAATCGAACAATAGTGATAATGAGGATCGTCGGCTAATATGAGTCACTAGATCTCTGGTTATACATAGGTACCAGCTACAAAGACTAGGTACCGCTATTGTTATAATAAGTTCCTATTTAACCTACTGGGTAGACAACCCAAATATCTCATGCATTATAGAAGTTGTCTATGTATTTGTATTGTATCAGTTTTAATAATAAAATTAGGCATTCTAAACAAATGAAACATCGGTGCTAAGGTTGGGTACCTCAAAATGGTTGCGACATACGATGTAGTCTATCTACAATACGTGAAATCATAAATAATGGATTAAATTTAAATATTTTATGTCGAACACAATGAAAATATTATTTAAAAAAAATCCGCTTATACATTTTCTATCAATGCAGGCTTATCTTGTCGAGTACAATTTCAAATAAAAATAGCGTCCAAGATAGAAGGCTATGTCACAATCACAACCCCCTTAGATTTACGAGCCCTTCCCACTGACAGCTATTGTTTGACAGGTTATTTGGAATGCCTAATACTTTTTCGTGATTGAACACATACATATAAAATCCAAGTACAAAATAAAAATCGTTAGGTTTATAAAAAATACAATAAGTATTTGATTAGCTGATTTTAGTAAATTATCTAGTGTTTTAGATGAGTTTCTTCTATTTTTTGTTAATATACTTACCTACCTATTTGTTTCTGTTTTTTATTTATATACCTATTTTATTTTATTAATATATATTTTTCAGTTAAGACTTTATACTGTCGAATAAATTTCCCATCTGGCAAGTAGTGAATTATTTTTTATTTTTGGTTTAAACATATTGTCAATCGGCCAGTTTATATAATCATTATGTAAATCCACCTCTATAAATATAAAACATACCACTACTTCAGTATTGGCCATTGCAAATAATATACAGGGTGTTCCATTAAAAATGGGACATAGAGCAAGTGAAGATTATCTGATTAAAAATAAGACAAATGAAACATGCATTGGTAAAGTGTTACTCATTTCCAAGCTGATTAAATCTTGCTTTTAGATCAGAACTGTGCATTTTGGCCTGCCGGCCATTTCGGAGCATGAGGTGTCTTGCCATGAGGCAAATATTCTCCACACCCACTAATGTAGTACTAAAAATGTAGTAAACATGTGTATGTAACATAAATTCAATCTAGCTCGTTTATTTGAAAATAAAAATTCATAAAATCTGGGAAATTTTCAACTTTAACACTGTATCTTGAAAACTAGTTATAGAGCTGAATTGGGCCCCATTGGTACTTTTGGTTCTAGGTTGAGTACAAGATACTAAAGTTTCAGAAAATTTGATCACTTTACATAAGTCCTTTAATGTATATGATGAAATTTTATAACAATTTTGAGATTTCTAAGTTAAAAATGCTGTGAGTTTAATAAAAATGACAGATTTCTGCAGTAAGCTTTAAAAACGTAGTTTCATCAAAGTTTAACCAGAGTGTATTTTAATTAGTATGGAAGCACATGTAATTTGTTTTCGAAATGTTAAAATAAAAGAGATAGATTACTAGAACATTCAGAAAACATTTAAAGTTTAAAATCCACTTTAAATCGCAGTACGTATTTATTTGATGAATTTGAGAAAATAAAGTAAATTTCACAATCATTATACAGTGAGCATCATAAGTCTTACCCCCCAACTTACTTGTTACTAGAGTCTTGTTAGGAAAATCGCCGACACGTCGATTTTTGATTTCTACACTGTACATTTTTTGTATGAATAGTTTACCCTTAATTTCATCCCTTACTGGAGGGGAGCAACCCTTTCGAAAAATTTAAATGGCATGGGGTGGTGAGTGATAGCTCATTTAAAAGGGGGTTTTATTCTCTATTCAACTGGGCAAAAAATTTTGAAATTACCCTCCCACCTTGTATCCGCGCTTGGTACTGTGGCAGTCAACGTGTTAATAGTTATTTGTATAATATAATTAATGAGTAAAAAGAGGTACTTACTTTATTAAAATGTTATGTATATTGGTAATAAAACGTAATCTCAACGATTTGTTTGTATTTTTCAGTAAAAAATATTTTCAAAAAAGGTTTTTTTGGTAATCTGCATTTCGATAAGTGTCTACCTATTTCTGCATTTACTTAATTAGAAGGGGTGTAAAGGAAAAATTTCAAAAAAGTACTTACTTTTATATTTTAATAATAAAAACTTATTAACTATAATTCTTAAATAAAAACTTCAACACATATTTAAAAGTATCCATGCTTTCTTTACCCATGTTAATTATTAAAGTGAGGTTATTCCATTGAGGTAATAGTTGTTCATATTACACGTAATTAGTGGCAAATTATGCTACAAAATCCAAAGGTCTGTTGAATCCACCTTTCCTGTTCATGTACTGCCTATATTTTCTTTTTAATATTACATGAACTGTACCAGTATTATTTCCATTAACTTTTTTGCCTTTTGTGGTGTCGAAATTACAAAAACCCATTAGTTTCAACATTTCTTGTTCTTCTACAGATTTACCTTCTAAATCTGCTGCTGTGACTGGGGGTCTTTCTTGAATATTTTTTCGTCTTCTATCTATCGGAGATCTAGATCTGGATCTAGAACGGGAATAACGCCTGTGATCATCCCGATCCGCTGAATGTCGTTTTCTTTCCCGGTCGCGCGATCTATCTCTGGATCGTTTCCTTCTGTGCCTCTCCTTATCTTTGTCCCGGTCCCGATCCCTGTCTCTATCCCTGTCTCGATCTCGCCTTCTTGTGCCAATTGGAGGAGATTTTGACCTACTTCTTCCCATATAAACTAAAAAAAAAATATATATTATTAATTTATCAATAGCTTCGGATAATAAAAATAAAAAAATACCTGTTTTTTTAATTTTTTTCCCTGATTTTTTAAACTTTTTTAATTTTTCATGTAAATGTCACAAACATCTTTGACAAAAATGTCGGAAAACAGAAAACAATCATGATTTTAGTTAAACTTTTTTACGCGAAGGCGCTAGTTGTAATGAAATCATTTTATTTTCATGCAAATATGAGCTTTATAGGCATGTTTCTAAAGTTCCGAAGTTGCACAATCTAAAAAAGCGAAGAAGACCAACCCGCGTTGCCAGATTCCGTATAAATAACGAAAAAAAGGTATTTTCGATTTTATCTACAAACAGAACTGCGTTAGTTGGTGAATTTTTTACACCGTTTTACACCAGCGGTTCAAACTTGAGTTGGAAAATGTCAAATTGAGCAATTTATTATGTTCAGTGTTCGCTATTTTAGTAAGTTTGAAGTATATTTAGAAAAAACTACTGTCATTAGCTATTTTATATTTTAATATTTTATTACAAAAATTGAAACTAATAATTGTTGTTTTATCCGACATTTAGGTACCATTAATTTATCGAGAAAACTCAAATACTGACAAAAACTATCATAACTATTCTTCAAAATGTACAGTGTGGCGAAAATAAATAAAATTTCTCTAAAACTTTACATATATATTTTGTTTTTATTTTCAGAACTTTTTGAACAAAAGTATTACGGATTACTGCTCATAAACACTTAAAAATTACATGACAAAGAAATTTAAAAAATAAATGTCGTAAGCAAATATATATCTACTTAATAGTCTATAGTATGTCTGAATAAATGAGGAGTGCAGTAAAAGTGGGGATACACCATCACATTCCATAGGCGTTCTTTGCAAAATAAGTTTCTATAATACCTATATAAATAACGTCAAGGCATATAAAAGGGTATATACGCACTTCATAGATTCAATTTTAAATGAAAAAAGTTATATTATATCCAAAAAAATAAAAATAAATCTTATGCTTCTGACAAAATTGTTGAACTTTAATAAAGTCTGACTTATCTATCAAAAGAAAAAGTTTATTACAGTAAAAATCATTGAAAGCTGATTAAATCTAAACGAAAACTTTTATTACTCCGATCAGTTGTATTAAAATTTTCATTTCAACTACAAAGTAACTAAGTATTGAAGGATGAGGCGTAAATTAAATGTCTATCTGTACCTGTACCTGTACTACATTCTGCAAATTAAATTACTAAACTCATTTCTTTTCTAGACTATATTCCCACACCTCAATGATTATTTCCTATATTTTTTCAATTTATACACGATCTAGGCGTGTACAATCTCGTAAAGCACCAAGATACAATTTATGTCCTCAATGTCTTTCAGCTAAAAATATATAAAAATGAAAAATAAATTCCGAAAAATTGAACACCTACCACAAATGACATTAGGATAGTAACAATATGGCACAGGTGATACTACTTTAGTATACTAGTAGCGACTTCTCTCCCTACTACCTCCATGGTCATAATACAGGGATTTGCAATAAAAACTCTCCACCCTAAATACAAAAATAAGTCAAAAAATCATATAAAATATCTTGATATAGGCAACCAGTAATGCATATATGTAATTTATATAATTTTTGACCTGACCTGTAAAACGATTTAGAATTGATAGTTTTCATTGAAATTCCCTGTATATATCTTATTGTTATTAAAAACTGATAAAAATGTAATTTTTTAGAATAAGTAATTCAAAACTTATTTGAAACGACAAGATCAAACGAACAACACTCTAACAAGCAACGTTGCCGCATATTTTGTATGACAAATAGAAAGTGCTGGTGAAACATCGAATGTTGCTGCCAGCTGCACTTGCGCATTTTGAGTTTCAATGACTTGTGTTCGAGTGGTTGGTGGTTTATATGGCGGAGATTGATTTGGTTACGCATAATAAAACTGTTGGCTCAAATTTTGTAAATATTAGTGTTTTTCTGTAGAAAGTCGAATTCTGACCCCCAAAGTCTATTAAAAAAGGATATTAATTCGCAATATTTTACACACATGGGACTTACACTGGTGTAAGCTGTGATTCCTTTTTAATCCGCTATTCTTGACGGGACTATTGTAATCTTTAAATTAGAAGTAGGTGATATTTTGATTACGGTAAGTGTTTTAAGTATATATCTAAGTAATAGTTATAAAATATAATGTAAAAAGGCACGTCGACTTGAAAAAACTTCGTTTTTAAATAGGTTGTGTTGGGGTGTGTCACTTCAATTTGAAACAATTAAAAGGCTCTTGTTAAACAATAAATGCTATTGCAAAAATGTTTCCGTGTTAAATTTCCTACAGTTTTCCTAATTCATATGTCACACATGTTTTTGTAATCGGAAATGTAGATAAAATGCTCAATAAAACTTAACTTGACAAGGGTTTCCTGCCTGCATACTTACAGGATGATTCTAAAGTACACCAGCATTGATATGGACGGTACACCTAGTATATAACGATTAAAACTTTATGTAGGTAATGAATGGTTTCAGGTCATTAGCCTCTGAAAGGCATTGTTTCAAAATATCAAGTAAAAATTGATTAAAATAAAGTTGACAGGTTCCATAATATAAAGTTTTTTAAATCATCCTATAGTGTTTTGTACAACATGTTTATCATGTCTTCTTCCAAAGAACAACTGTAGAATGTAAAAGAATTATCTTAAAAACTAGATATGATAGAAAAAAGTAACAGTTGGAATCAAACCAAAAGTTATTACAGAATAAATACCTTGCTGGTAAAACTTGTATACAAGAGATAAATAATATATTAAGGGGTGGGTGGTTTAGTGGGAAGAGCCTGGTTTCATAATAAGTTATGGTTTTAAATGTTGGTTCTGTTGAATTTTTACATTGTTAAAAATTACATTTTGTATATGGCTGCATAATGTAATAATTCTTATATACAGCGATGCAACACTAAAGAAAAAGTTTTTTTTTTAATCTATTTATGTTCTATTTATAGTATATATAGCTTAACTCAACCTGTGGCCCTCTAGGCTTTTTTGTGTCTTTTAGAAACTATGGCTTTTGGTTTTTAAAATTTTGAGCGAATTGCATGAAAACATTAACATTAAGGGATAAACATCATGCTAATATTTTTATTGTTTTGCATTTATGTATTAGAGATCCCAAGTAATTTTAAAAGGTTGACCTAGAGTCCTTTTTTGAAACAAATTGCCATTGTGACTTTTTAAAGCATATTAAAACAACTGAAACAACATGAGGACCTTTTATTTCAAAAAGATGGCAACCCTAGTTATCACCCAAAATATTGCTGCCCATATAGCATAACAAACAGATTTAAGTGGCCGGAAAGAAAAAAAGGTTGCATATAGCTGGCCTTAAGCGATAATACAGTAATAATGTAAAAATTACTTCAAATTAAGTTCCACCTACATGTTTTTTTGCTGCTAGTCCAGTCCCCTTTGCTTATATTTTCTCAGGGTTGGAAAACCCTAAGAATTAAAAAATATATAAGTAAGTTTTTAGGTTGTTTAAGGTTTAATAAGATTTGATAGGTTTTTAGTTCATAATATGTCAAAAATTATTGTCACTATCATTAATATCAATATCAAGAAGAAGTGATTGTAACCTTTGATGAAATGTTTGCATTTGTTTTTATATACACTCATTTATCCACCCTTTCTCCTGAGAGTTGATTAGTAAAACTGTGAATTCTTAATATTTATCTTAAATAGGTAACCTAAAAAACCTAAAATTGCAGATTTTTCACTCTTTAAAACGTTTAAAAACCTAGGTGCAAAAAAACTGTACCTGCCAACTCTGTATTTCGTTCATTCATATTTTCTTTAGCTTCAGTTTTTTCCTAATTTTTTATTTGGAAATGTTACAATTGGTGCATAAGAAATTTTTACAACCTCAATATCTAATTGTAATGATGAATCAATGTAAACCATAAATAATATCGGACCCAGGACTGTTCCCTGTGGAACACCTATTTTTACTACTTGTTTTACTTCTTTTAAATAATTTTAAAGCAAGTTTGTGGGAACAGTGTCAAACGCCTTTGCTAGGTTGATAAAGACACCTGTATTATTATTGTTATTCTATAAGCTACTTTTTGGAAACCAAATTGTTTTATAAGCATTTATTTCTCAAATTTGTTAGCAATATTTATGATTTGACTAACTGGTCTATAATTCGAAATATTTTTTTTGGTTCCCTGCTTATAAATAGGTGTTGTATATTTAAAAACACTGGGTATTTTGCAAGTCTCCAAAATAACATTTTTATTTTATTATATATTATACTGGGTGTTCAAATTAAAGTGTTACAGCTAAATACCTGCCTTAAAAAAAAAAAAAAACGTTTCAGGCGTAAGTTTTATAATATGTCCAACTTTTTTTCGCGCAGCTGTTACTCGAAAAGTGAAAGTCCAATAAAAAAATATTTCCTTCAAAAGTTTCTTATTTTTTTATGTACTTTAAGAATATCCCAGACAGCACACCAAATCCTTTGGATATCTACTGAACATCCCAATATCCACTGAATGTCCAAATAATAGTAATTATATAGCAAATTATTAAAAAATTACGCCATTGTGCTCGCCATTGTGGCTAATAGTACCGTTCAGATATTTAAAATTAATTTTTTTAAGGTGTATTCAATATCCCATGGACATCCACTATAAATATATCAAAGTCTAAGCGCGGACGCAAACCATCGTGGATATCTACTTTTGCTTCCTAAGTATAGATGGCGATACCACTTTCGTATCTACTCATGCTCAACCCGCCGTAAATGAGTTCGATCGAATTTTTTTTTCACAATCAGACTCTATTAGAGACTGGAGTCGAGAATTTCCATTTATTGCTGAAGAGTCCTAAAAAGGATGACTTTCTCCTTAGTGCCCTTTTAGTGGGCAAAATCAAAGGCAGATTGTTGGAAATATTTTTTATCTCTATTTTGTTTCGACGTTATTCAATAATCATTGGTTACTTATGAACCTCTATTAAAGATACCTATAAAATATTTTGCTGAATATCTGAATTTTATATCCATATTGGATATCCACAAAATATATTCTGTGGATATCTCTGGTATTTCTTGTATTGTCTGGAAGATACTCATTTGATATTTTGCTGAATATCCATAGGATATCTTCTATATTCTGGATATAGACGGACATTTGGATATCCATATTAGATCCACGGAATATTTCTGATATCCTGTGGATATATTGGATATCCACAAAAGATAATCTGTGGATATCTCTGGGATTTGGTGTGTTGTCTGGGTGTAATGGTGTAAAAAAAGTGCATAAAAATGCATATTTTCGGCGGTATTTAACTGTAACACTTTAATTTGAACACCCGGTATATATCTCAGCAGGACAATTTCCGTCCTTAAAGGGTGAACATACATTTTCAAAGTTTAATCATTTTCTCAGTTATATTAAGTAAATTTTCAAAATAATATTTTTGCACATTGCAGGAGAGTCTAAATATTAATCTTGTTTAATATGTACCATGTATTTCAATAACATCCGGTGTGTTTTATATTGCTCTTTAAAGAAGGTAAATAGGTTAAATATTTTATTTCTAAATTTGCATACTAAGTGATGTATACATAAAGGGAGTTTCAGTATTTTATATCAGAGCTTTAATACTCGATAGAACTTTTAAAATTAATACAAAAAGTTTATATAAATTTTTCCGTTTTCTAGTTACTTGTCTTTTTATTGTTTATTGTATACCTACTAATTTTTCATGGAATTTATTATAATTTTTTGAAATTTATCATCTGCCAAACAATTTATTGTTTCTATTAATTAACAAATATAAAATGACTAATTTCATGTTTATTTACTTTACGCGTTACTTTCGCTGTAAAATTGATCTCTGGGATTTTTGGCACGAATCTTGCAGGAAAGTTTTTTTTTATATTAAGTTTATCTTTTCTCTTGCTAAGATGCAACCACTTGTTGCTAAGGTTAGGGTCTTTAGGAAAACTAAAAAATCTTACAAACATTTTTACGAAATATTAATATTATTATGTTTGTTTCCCAAACAGAAAACATTGATTTTTAAAGTCCATTTGGGAGCACCGTCCCTGTTCCGGCTAATACACAGCCAGTGGCGGCTCGTGGGGGTGGGGGTTCACAGTGACAGAATCTAGGTATCTGTATTTTAGAAAGTTTATAATATACCTTTCTAAAACACTGACAGTTTTTTACCTATATCTGTACCGGGATCTATATTCTGCTACTGTGAACCCCCAAAATTTTTGTCAATAGCCGCCCCTGTACACAACCTTCCTTCATGTTTAAAGCGACACGATTTGCTACTATAAATTGCAACGGTTTGTTATCTATCTTTTCGGGAACTGTCTCAAAATCGATATTAATAAAAAATAAATTTAAAAAGAAAGTTGAGAGACCTGAATATCTTTGTTTAACCTTTTTTTTTTTTTTTTTTTTTTCATAAGTTGTTTAATGTTGTAAACTTACAAACAGCATTAATAAACCTACTTAGTTCATAAAATTGGCAAATGTACATAATTAGTCATACAGATTTTTTCTTGGATATCAGATACCAAAAATAAATGTTAATCTTTAAACATATTTAATAATGTAACAAATGAATGGAAACTACTTATCAGCAAAACCAATAAAACTTTTCTTTATAACAAATGAAAGAATCATAAAGTTATCAGTATGCAACAAATAAAATCAGATAAATAATAATCAGTAGCATATCTACAACAATTTTTGTTTAAATAGACAGAACTACAAGAATTATCAATTATTTTCCATTCCCATGAGAAAACAATATTTAAATAATGGGATGGGTATTATTTGTATTTCAACAGTTGTTCTATTTGAACAATAAAATTGTAATAATAGTAACTATACAACGATCAATAACCAATAAACTTTATTACGTATTTATGAGCTGAAAATAATAAAAGTGATTAATTGCTAGAGGATTACTTCATTTCGGGAAAAAGAGTTGCCAAACCTAGCAATTTAATATGTAGCTATTAAGTTAATTATATGTTTGTAACACAAAAAAATACAAGGACACAGATCAATTAGACATAATTATTATGACAGCAATTTTATGTAGGGTTTCATGTAATTATTGTGGT